TTTGTACAAGAGGACTTCATTCTCCAAAAATATACTTGTACATAGCCAAAAAAAAAGCCGATATTGAAGGAATATTAGTTCTCGACTATTTAACGAGATATGCAAGGGACCTATAATAGGAAAAAATGATAAAATAGAATTAGTAATATTTGATCGATCACGATATAAGATAAAATAAGAGATAGCTGTCTTAAGATAAATTTGTTCAAGCCAATCAGCAATAATAGGTATAATATATTCCTTTTGAATATATTGTTGCATAGATAGAACATTTACAACGGCATTAATGGCCTTGATATATGCATTTAAAGAATTGAGATTATTTTCTTGTAAATCTATGAGGACTATGTCTTTTATCGAACGAGTATCCTGTTTCTTTTTTAATCTAATGTCATAACTATATACAGTTAGCTCTTCTAATTTAGTATTATTATCAACTAAACAGAATTCCCAGCGTTGATTATGCGAAAGACCGAGAAGCATCATAAATTTATTATAATACAAACGACTTAGTCGCATCAAATGACTAAGTCACCGCTGAAAATTTTACCGATCATTTCCATATTAAATTAGCGATTTTATTGATCAAAATTATAGTTACGTAAACAAACTATAGTTACGTGTTCGTAGTTAAATGCGTCATTTTATCATCATTTGCGATAATTTTATTTCTTTTCTTATATCTCAATTAATAAAATTAGAATGCTAAAATCAAATAAACGAACCAGACAGTTTCGAAAAGCCATCAATAAGCGTTAGAAGCAAGCAAAAGGTTCTGAAGAAGTAGTATTTGAGCCATCAGATACTGAACTGGATGAGTTTGATGAATCATGGTTTGGCACTTTTTGGGTAGAAGGTGAAAAAATACATTTCGATAGCGATGAAATTACAGATAAAATATAGGCATAGAAACAAAACACATTAGAACATTTGATAGAAAATGCAAAATCGCATATGTGGGCTGTAAATTCATGCAGATCAGTGTATAATTATGCTGCAAAGTCAACATTGTGCAACAAGAGGGCATATTGGCGAAAAGTGGCTTTAGGTTCTAAGAAAATTACTGAAATACTTCAAACAAATAAAGCTGCTGAGCCTAACAATACAGATATCACATTTGATGATCCCATATTTGATGATCCAGCATTTGATGATCCATGTGACAATAATGATGATGATGATAACAAATTCACATTAGAGTCTCTGGATTTATTATTAAAAAAAAAGAATGACGATTTGCGGCTTCAAATAGTAAGTCAATTTCTCCATTTAGTTCAAGACTAAAAATATAGCAAGATGGATGCAAGTAATCTCCTTGCCTAAAGCTTGAACAAAGGTCCATAGCAAGCGCAGCTTATTCGCTTCTGAACGAATCAATGGCTTAATAATGGCATGATTATTACGTCTAAACGTGAACGTCATGCAAAAATCAGATCTCTTCTTTTGCATAAAAACGTTAAATTGCGAGTTACTGAATATTTATGTGCGTATAAATTTAAATTGAATGTTGCTGATTTCGTAAAATTCATTGAGGATAAGGTTATTTCTGCTCTTAGAATAGAAGAAAAGATAAGTATCTCACATTCAACTGCACGCGAATGGCTACATATACTTGGTTGGCAATATAAAGACTATTCAAAGAATATTTACTTTGATGGTCATGAACGTGAAGATGTAGTTGCAGATAGAAATTAATTTTTGTAACAATAAGCAGAATTACGAAAACAAATTGCTATTTATGAAGGCAATAATTTGGACTAAATAATCGCACCTGCGCTTTCACATGGTGTTCCTGAGATCATTCCAGTTACCCATGATGAATCAATCTTTTATGCCAACGATGATATTGTCAAAACTTGGGGTTCAGCAAATGAGAATAGACTTCGTCGCAAGTCACAAGGTCTTAGTATACACATAAGTGACTTTCTCTGTAAGTCTATTAGATGACTTCGACTTTCAGAAGAAGATTGTTCTGTTAACAATTTGCTTCCTGATAGTAAGCGGCTTATGCATACTGAAGCCTGCGTCACAATATATCCTGGTACAAATCGGGATAGCTGGTGAATAAATAAAGATGTTATTGATCAGGTAAAAGAGTGAGCTATTCCAATATTTGAACGAACTCACCCGAAAAAAGTTGCACTGTTTATGTTTGATAATAGTTGCAACTACAATGCATTTGCTGATGATGCATTGGTAGTTTCAAGGATGAACTTAAAAGATGGTGGCAAATAACCACTCCTCTATAATAGTAGAATGTCTGATGGCTCGCCTCATATAATAACATTTGCGGATATTGATGGTGTGGTAAAGCCCAAAGGTATTCGACAAGTTCTTGAAGAGCGTGGTTTGTGAATACCGAGTTTGAAAAGAAAGTGCAATGCATATATGTAATACAACTCTGATCTAATAAAGCTAGACTGTTGTGCAACACGTATTTTTTTTGCACAATCTGACTTTGCATCACAAAAGATACACATACAAGAGGTAAATTACGATTAATAAATTATTCAATTTATGCATTCAATTTAACATTTTTTTTAAAAAAATACTTATCTTTTAGGTTATTGAGGCAGCAGGGTATATGTGTATGTTCTACCCGAAGTTCTATTGCGAACTTAATTACATTGAGTCTTTTTAGACGAAAGCAAAGCGGTATTCACGTGTTCATTACAACTACACATTCAAGGATCTTAAGGAGATTGTACCGCGTGTATTAGATTCTGTTAATCTAACAAAAATTCGTCAGTTTGCATTTCATTCTACGTATTACATAAGCACTTATGAGCTTAGACTTTTAGGTAAGGTGGCTGTTTTTGCGGTTAAGCAATATAAATCTCATCGTCATGTTCCTGCAAATATTTTAGAAGAATTTGGAGACATGTAAAGTTATTGAATAACAATTAACCAATCATATTCTGACATATTATTTATATACACCAATCATATGTTGAGCACGTGATATTAGAGGCGCTGAAAATCCTACTATTACTATTAAAGTTAACGTTAAAAAAATCCTAACTACAAAAAACTTTTATAATAAAATCAAAAAAAAAGATACGTAATATTAAAGAACATATCAAAGACTATTTAATAATATATTTTTTTTTTAATAGTTATATGTTAAAAAAAATTCCTTTACATTTTAAAATTCTTAAAAATCCTTTGATGCGACTAAGCCGTTTGCATTATATTTAGATTCAGTTTTATCAACTCCACGTCGACCAATCTAGGGTTGTGTATATTCATATTTGGAATCACATACTGTGTAGTGATCAGGTTCATTAAAATTGTTACCAAGTGTACTGCAGTAGAAGTTGTGGTCGTGTTTGGCATCCGTTTAGTATAGATACTATGATAATTATCAATATTTAATATCATTGTCTTCTCTGCATGTTTCGCGAGTGTAGAATCAACAGTTTTAGCATGATTATTAGATATGGTAGTTTTATGCTGCGCAATTGTACGAGATGTTATAGTTATACCTAGATCAGCAAGAGTATCTATGGAGGTATTAGAAATATCAGTAGAATCCAAGTACATACTCAATTCTTCCTTTGCGACATTAATGAACTTACTACGAATTCTGCAGAGAAAGTAGTATACATATAAGAGCTGCTTTTTCGCCTGTGTTCGTAAATTTTTATTTTTGAAAAAGGGTTAGAAGAAAGATATAACTCGTCAAAAAATGAACTTAATCTTACATCTTCCTCTTCCATAACTGCACAAAATTCATCAAATGAGTATATTGCTGATTTTTTTTCCTTCTTTTTACGGTATAAAATATTAGTAATTATTTTTATTGCTTTAGAAAAGGATAAAATAGAAGGTGGAGGTGGTGACACCTGAAGCGGAATTAGTGGTAGTAGCAGAGTCAAAGGTGGTGGTGGTAGTAAAGGTTGAACCAGAGGTGGAGGTAGAGATAGAGGTAGAAATTGAACCGGAGGTGGAGAGAAAGATTCTAGAGCATGTTTTTGGAATGCAAGTGGGCAGTTTACCACAATTTCGTTATAACAGTTTAAGCAAATCTTATTACTTATTTGTAAATATCCTGGTAAAGTTTTGTTAATTTGACCTTTTGAAATAACGTACTCAGTTACCTTTTTCCATCGTACTGACTGTTAGATTTGGCATATTGTAATTATACACAATTCCATTAAGAGTACTTGCCTCTAAGTAAAGTATCTTTAGATTTTGGATTTTTTGGAATTATTTTGCATAGTAAATATTAACACACTTTCGAAGCTAGAGAAAAAATTTTTTTATTTTTTTTTATGTGAAACGTTACAATCTCAAAAAGTACTCTAAACTATATAAATAATGTACTCGACAATTGAATAAGATCAGCCAATCACGTGAATGTCCGTCCATGACTTTATACATCTATTCTATAACTTAATAAACCAAATGCAATTTGGGTTAATGACAATGGTACTAATTCACCTCACACCTAAATACCTTTATGAATATACAAAATCATCATACAAACATTAAACTCACTCCTACTTTCTTTGATATTGCAACTCACAATACTTGTTCATTACTCAATCCACACAAACAACAACTTTTATTTGATCTCTATTCTATTAATCATTTAAATATTATTGCACTACAAAAAACAAATTTTACTATACCCCTTCACCATTTTCCTTTTAAATCTATTTATAATAACAAATTTATACCTTTTTTTTCTACAAACTCAGACACTCAACGTTTGGGTTTTGGCATGGGATTTTTCATTAAAAAATATCTTTCCGATCATATTTTTCACCACTCTTCCTTTTTTAATCAAATTTTCTGTCTTGATTTTCAATTTAAAAACAAAAATAAATTTCGTATTCTTAACATATATTTATCATGTTCTGACGAACCTCTTCATTTAAAATAATTCAACAAATGCGTATCTTTATAAATAAAGCTATTTGTGCTAACTTCTTTCTTATTATTTGGCAGGTCTAATTGACGGTAAAGGCATATTCACACCAGATGGCGAGTTTCAAATGTTGTTCCATGAGTATGATTCACCCTTAGCTTATCTTATAAAAGAAAAAATTGGTTTTGGCAAGATTCGCAAAAACGAAAAAGGCCTTAACGAACAAAGCACTATATATTTTGTGTCTAGATTGGATGCTATGAGGAGAATAGCGACTTTAATAAATGGCAAATGTCGAACGGATAAGGTGGAAATGTTTAATGATATTATCCTTCCCCGTATTAATAAGGAAAGCGAGATTCCTATACCAGCCTTAACTAAAGATGCTAATTTACAAGATCTAAATTATTGGATGGCGGGATTTTGTGATGCAAACGGTACTTTTAAAATAAAAATAATGAGCGGACCTGATCCAGATATTGAAATTAAACTCGAATTTCAAGTTGAACAAGAGGATGGGGATGGTTTAACATCTTTTAAAGATGCCTTTGGAGGGTTTGTCCGTTACGGGAATCCTTGTTTTTACAATTCTGTAGATTTTGGACCCGCGTATAAAATTATTAATTATTTTGACCACTTCCACTTGAATTCAACCGAACATGTAAACTACCTAAAATGGCGTAAGGTTTATTGTCTGATGATGAGCAACGGTCATCTTAACGGACGCGGGCGTACAAGAATAGAAAAATTATGTAAAAGCTTGACTGCTTATCCTTAGAAAACCGTTCATGTAAGTTAAATTATTATTATTTTTTTTATTTTTTTTTACGTATTAAAAATTGTAAATTTTCAATTCCTTTTATTCTAAATTAATTCTATTTCAATGTTATCAGAAAATCTCCATATATGCTTCCTCTAGATATACTTGCTTTGAATCCTTAAAAAGTTTTTATAGTTTAATTAAGGTTATCTAGTTTTCAAAATAATAATTTATAATAAATAATTTAGGCAAAAATGAAACTAAGTTTTTACTTAAATTAATCTTAATATTGTAATAATTATAAAAAATTCGTTTAAATGCTAAGATTACATTTAAATCATAAACATGCTAAAATTACTAAAATAATTAATTTAATAATAGGTTGATGATCATTTTATATATAACTTTTATTTAACAATTATTACTATTATTTAATATTATAATTATATTAATTAATAATATAAATTTAGAAATTTTATTAAAAAGAATAATAATTTTTAATTTTATTATAATAGAAATATTGCAATTTCTTATGCAGTTTTTTTGAATATTTTATTTATCAAGAAATTCATATTATCAATTTGGTTTTATTACAAATTATATAATTTATTATATATTATGATTAGATTTTATTAACATATAAATTATTTAGAGTAAATTTATTCATTGCAGGTATGATATCATCGCCTCCTTCTTGTCACCTGTATCACATTCCTCCCTTTTTCATTTTTCATATATATTTTAGGGACTTAGAAAATTTTTCATATGTGAAATCCTATTTGTCACATATATTAGTATTACATAGTTTAAAGTTAGGTTAGGGTTAGGGTTAGGGTAAGGTATATATATAAAGACGATGTATAAGAAGTATCGCTTTCTGCGATAAATAAATTTACTCAATTATTTATTATTCATATTTAATTACTCTTAAATTTCTTTAAAATATTTAACTTGAAATAAATTAAAAAATATAAATAAAATAATAATATTTTATTTAAAAAAAATTTCTTAATAAATATAAGATATATGAATACAAGTTATATGGATTTTTTATAATAAAAAAGAAGAAAATTATCAAAAAAATTTTTTTTTGAGTTAAAGTTAAATCTGGATTTATTTTACTAAAAAAATAATATTTAGATTATAAAGTATAAAAAAAATTTTTTTGATATTTCTTTTTTTTTTACTGTAAAGTGTTTAATATAATATATATAAATTTATTAAGATTTAAAAGTTATATATTATATTAAAAAAAATAATTTGTAATAATAATTTTATAATTAAAAAATATTAAAAAATTAAAGGTTTAAAAAAATATTATAATTTAAAAGTATAAAATTTTCATATAAAAATAATATAAATTCTTTTAATAA